TTAAAGACCCAACATGCAAATTGTACGACCGCTTTTTGGAAACCTCATTACACGCAAAACGAAGAGTTTGTAACTAATTCAGATGAATACTAAAACTAAAGAGCAACTTCGCTCACGTACCGCTCACAAAATTGTTTGCATTAATGATTTTAAATTATCGTTTAATCAAAATTGACTTACTTTGCTGATCCTTGCCTTGAATAAATAAAAGAATTTGGAACATTTTCAAGAGCTTTTACATTAGCGGAATTTTGTAGATTTATAATAACAAAATCAGTTGATATAAAACCCAAGCAAAAAATTAAAAATTGATTCTAGAATATAAGCTACTTATGGCTTATTTTTCTCTCACAGCACTTCTCAGTCAGTTTGAAGAAATACCTTTTGCTTGATGTTTAATCATTTATAATCAGTAATATTTCGCTACGTGAAGAACATGGTAAAAGTTTTAGCAAGTTGTGTTTATTACCAGACGAAATTTTTCCAAAAAAGTATGCAGGTAAAAAAGGCAGAAACACTTTATAAAAACGGGCTTCAATCACTCTTCATTAAACTTTAGCAATTCCACTGGAACGCAGAGTTTCCAATCTTTGTTTAAGTTTTCTCGTCTTCTGCGGTAGTTAGTATCATTTTTTACTACATTACGTTTTAATGTCCTTAAGGGAAAGGGCTGAGATCCTTGATTTGGGTGATGGCCAAACTCTCGACTTAAATACATTTCTCAGTGACTGCTATAAATTGGAAAAGTTTAAACGATAGCAGGATTATGTTGCTGATTTTTTTTTCCCAGGCTTGCCGGAGTACTGAAATAATAAAGGGGCCTACACGTTTCAGCGTTGATAAACAATAGAAGTACCCTTTAGTGGCCTAATTCGATCTGATTTATCCGCTTAACGGCTCAGTAAATGACATCCAGAAAAGCTTAAGTTGTTTTGAAATTTAATCACCGTAAATAATTATTCTAGAGGATACAAAATATTTAAATCATCGATCTCAAAGTTTGCACCAGTTTTATTTATAGACCTTAAGTTATGCAAAGTAAAGATGAAAATCCCTCGTAGGCGCGATAATATTTATATATTCATCACAGAGCCTCTGTTCACTAATGTGTCTATTCTATTTAATTTACAGGGCAAAATCGATCGTAAAGATAAGTAAATAATTTTGAGCAAATAATGTGGCGTCATTTAGATAACGGGGATAATTAATTCCATAGATTAGTCGATGCAGTGAAAGAGATACGCACTTTGTGCCTATGCTGGTTACAATCATTGCTTTAGTGACTAATTAAAACAATCATGTATGTTGATGATTAACTATTCATGTACCACTCAACTAATCAAGTATGACTTACACATGCTTATCAACAACGAATTGTATTGATTTTTTCGCAAATTATTTAACGCCTTAGGAGTGGCACATGTGGACTAAAAAGTTACAGGAAACATTCGTAAATAATTATGATATCGAGGAATTTATTCTCGTGCAATTGACAGCTTATTTTAATCTACTAATTAAAAGAGTTTAAAACGAAACGAGTCCAACTAAACCAAAGCAATATCGCAAAAAGACCGTTTTTAATTTGCCTTTTCCCAACACAAGCAAATCCTAAAATTCATTAAACTTAAATAAAGAAAAACACTTTTGGAATCCCATTTCGATTACGCTGTTCCAACGCTATTGATACAATTTTTAAGGGAAATGGGAAAACTTGAATTGCATTATAACTCCATTAAGATTTGTGAAAGCATATCTTTGAATCAGCAGCATTGCTTTCAAGATAAAACCTTAGGTTAGATATAAGAGTTGAAAGAAATAAATGAGGAGATGAAAAACAGAAGTGACTGAAAAAGGGAATTATTGGCTTAATTTTAAAGCTAATTAGCTTCCAGTTCCTGCGAACCCATTTCAGCTCCTACCTTAGCACCTTAAACCTGAGCTTTTGAAATCCGATTATCAGTAAGTTGTACGAGGAACAAAATTTCAGAGATAAAACAACAGTTTCGTATCCTTAAAGCCTTCAATAAAAATAAATGTGTTACTTTGAAATATTCATGGGATCCACCGCAATAAAACAAAACTAAAATTGCGGTTTCCCTTTTTATTTCCTTGTATATTTACATGTTTCTTTGAAAACCTCGTTGGAGAAACGTTCGTATTGATGGACGTTTCTAAGCAAATAAAAGTTGGAAACTCTGCCGAAAGTTAATAAGGTCGAAAAATCTTTATCGTACTTTTTAAACAGCAATCACTGAGAGTTGCCAAATTAGACTTTGATAGTGGCTCTTAATGTTTGGTGGCCCCTTAAGTTCAGGGCGTTGTAAACTTCGTGTTACCCATTTTAAGTGCAAGATGTAATGTTGTAATGTGTAAATTCAATCACTAATGACATTCTAATAGACCGGATACAAACGACGGTAATCAAATTAGTTGAGATCTAAATTTGGTTGTTGTGATCTTTCGTGTCTTATTGCTGGCAAACTACCTAGGAACTCTAAAGACCTCATTTAGATTACAGAACTTCGGTTATTTATTTATATGAGTTGACTTAATAAACTCCTCCCAATGAGGAAAGTTGTATTTAACTTACCCAGGCAGCAACAGCGCTCGTTTCCATTTATTAAAATATAGCGACTAGTGAAACATTTTAATATTTACCCAATGGGGCTTTGTAGATTTATTTAAAATCTCAGATTTAGCTGGACAAGCATAAAATATTCAATCGTATGCAAGACCCGACAATTGAGACGTTAAAAGGACCCTGTTTAAAAAAGCATACAAATATTGGCGGGTTCGACACGAAGGCTTAGAAGAAAATAACTTGGAGCATGTTTAATATTGATGCTGAAGCCACTGTAGAAAGCTATGAATAAAATATCTGTTTGCTCTAACGCAGCTCTGGATTTGCACTAGAAAGGATAATGAAAATGTGTGAGAAATGTCAGGTTTCTTAACTAAATATAACGCGATATCAGGTTATACGATTTTCCAAGTTACGTTCATTGTTATGACAGTACTACTTAAAAGAAAAATTTATTGAACAACAAAATCAACAGCTTTTATGAACTGCAGCTATGGGAAAAATCACACAAATTATTTTTGATGTGCGTTTTTCAAATTGACTTGCAAAAGTCTTATTGTTCGAATTATCCACTTCAAAAAATCAATATAAAAATTGTCACATTCATTGATACTTACTCTACACACGTGAATTTCATATATATTTGTCAAATGGATTATCTGTGTGAACTAGATCACGTAGGTTTCTGGTAATTCCCAATTTTCTTGACATTCAGATTGATTGAGATTATAAATATATCAGACTTCAAAGATAGAAAACGGACAATGAAACAGTAAGCTCCTATTTGCTAAATTTCATGGTTTTTGAAAAACAACCTGCATTTTTTAATTTTAGCTTAAAAATTCACCAATTGCCACCAATTTTTACTGATCAAACTAGGCGCGTCTGATCTAATCGCCGCACAAGCAATAAAATTGTTTTAAGATATCACAGATAAGTGCATTATATGCATTTTATTAATCCGAAAATTCAAGCAGCGGAAATTATTGAATATACCAATAGAAATTTGTATAGAAATATGCACGAAAACGGAGCAAACCCTAGGAAAGAATAGGCGCTAATCAGGATTCTAATAATAACAAATATGAAGGGAGTGTAAAAAATCCTTAAATCGTATTTTTCATTTACTTGCAAATCCACAAAATCCTGAGATTTTTGTGCCAATATTGTTGGAAGCTTTGATATATATCTATATACTGCAAAGCGGGAAATAAATAAGAAAAGTCGTAACGTAATTTCTAATATTTATAAACCTCATTTGATCCGCAAAGCTGGGACTTAACGAACGTGAGCAAAGAAATTTACGAGATAGATTGGAAAGTAACTGAAAATTATTTCACTTTGCCAAATTCTAGAAACCCTGGCGCATTTACACTTTAATTTTGTGTACCTACTCTATGAGACTGTTAATTTTTTAAATGAATAGTGAAGCGAATTAACGGCGTTGATTTTTCTAAGATCTCGAATAGGATTTAAATAATAATTTATAGTAGTTGCACACTGGCACTGCTCTACACATATTTTAATCAATATTTAGTATAATGTTTTGTTTTAATTAGTAAACGTTAATTTGCACTGCTGTCAACTGTCCATCGACATGGCTAAGCAAGAGGATTTAATTCGCAATTTAATTACCGGGAAATGAGCATTAGGTAATTATTAGAGATATTAATTTCTTTATTACAAATATTAATTAGTTAACGGTGCAGTTAAACTAAAGCATAAATAAATTTGTAGGCGCATATTTAATAAACTATGGGCCAGCATTAACACAATAAAGGATGTTTGCAGGCTATAAATCTTTCATTATTGAAAATCGATTTTCTATTATTGTAGTGATTGGTTAAATTCATTCGTAATCAACCCTCAGCAAGAAAATAACCAATTATTTATTTCAGATGCTATTCAAAATTTCTATTGGTTGGGGGCTCTTGATCGGGATCGAATGTAACAAACTCATAAATATGTATTATCGAAAAAGCGAAATTGCATTTCTTTTTTAATCACGATAGTGCAAGCAGCGCTTGTATGTCTTGAGAGTCATGAAACATTTCCTCTGCAGAATCTAAATTATTAACGGCAGATCATCAGAGCAAAGTAAATCAGCTTGTGTATGTAAAATCTATTTATTATAAATTTGTTTGCAAATATAGCAGATTTTTCAATCTACATTTTACACTGTCATCATCAGTTTCATTAGTTTCAGACACAGTTCGTAATATTTTAAAAGAAAATGTTGTAATTCTCTATATAAACCTTAGGCCCAAACTCATAAATGTGTGTTTTTCGGGGGACAAACGCGCAAAGAAATTACGTACAAACTTCACATTGAACGTGTTTGATTTTCGTAACATTTTAATTGATCTAGCTTTTACCAGTTTAGGATATTAACAATATAATATGTGGATTTCTTACTTACCGAATCCTGAGGTAAAAAGCAAGCAGACTTTCACTAATATTTTTACTTTCCAACGTACCATTATTGACCGATCGCGACCCGTACGCGCCAGAACCTGAAACAAAAAAAAATTAAAGCTGAAAAATGTGCAATTCAATAGGTATATCATAAATCATCAATAGAAAAGTTCAAAAAAAAATGTAAGAAAAGTTATTGAACTATTGAAAAAGTTAATTATACTTGTGTCACGTTTCTAGTTTAAAGTGCCTTGTTTAGCTGAGTCAAAAAGTTTAGAATCTGTAAATGGTAAATAATGTTATTAACTGAGAAATACGCGAAATGTAAACAATCAAGAGTTGCGTTTGTAAAAGAAAATAAGCTGATATTAAAGCATAGAATGATTGAGTTATTAAATATTAAAGACAATGTCTTATTAAATTTCTTGATGAAAAAGTCAAGTAGCTAAAAGTTGGTGATAAAAGCAAGAATATACGAGTATATAACCTCTCGGAAATCAAATGTTCAATAAATATGCCAATTTATATGTATACGGCGAATTTTCTATATACGTGTAGCCAAAATCTGGGCCCCGGAGATATCAGAAAATTACTTTTATTATATTTATTTCCTTTTTCCGTTATTCTGTTTGGTTATTATTGAATCAGGAACATAAAAGGATGTGACAATCTGTATTAAAGTTTGAAGTAACGTAGAGTTTTTGTTCGACAACTGTTCGTTTTCTACTACCTATTCTATTAACTTTATATTTTCGGGAATGCGATGTTTGCGCAATTTTCCATTAGTTAAAGGCAACTACTGCATACAGAGTTTTATGTTAAGGTTCTTAATAGAATGCGAATATCTACGGAGTTTTAAAATATTTAGTTCGAACTTTCGATAGATCTAACGCAAGCTGAAATCCATTGAGTAAATAAAGTTTACTGAAAATTAAGTGTACTGGAAAACTCGAAACTGTATATCGACGTGATGGAAATAAGAATTGACCCAGCTTTAAATTTGATAGGCTTTATTCCGGACGTAACTTCGACGGATTACTAGTCAGGTCAAATCAATAAGTTCATCTAGTAAAGTGCAACCTCTATGTATACCTACTCTAAAAAGGCAAACCTTCCTGAACGAATTTCATTGGCCTTCGTATATAAGCCCTAGTAAAAACATCGTTTTTTAATTCAAACCTAAAACAGAATGAATGAATTCTTCTCCTTGATGATCAATTTTTGCGCCAACTCGCATTAACTCTGATTTTGCAATAGAGTGTTGGCGGACCAAAGAGATCATCAAAGCTAAGTATATTGTTGAAAATTAAAACGAAAATGTTCGCTATACGCCGAGCGATTTAATGGATCCCTAAGTGCTACTTGCAAGAAGAGCTGCTATATAACTCCTAAGATTTCAAGTCATTGACTTTGTTTTACACGGTTTAGATTTTTATTGGGCCTTTTTATTCAGAATCGCTGCTGAATTAACTGTTAAAATTCCCTGTTTGCTATGCAAGGAATTCAATAATTTGCCACTGTTAAATCAGAAAGGAATAACTGCTTTATTAATATCTATATTCGATTTTTCTGTGAAATGTGTCGTTTGGATATTTTTCTATTGCCGTCAGTATCTGATCATTCCATTCAACTTAAATAATAAGGTCTCCTTGATACAAGTAATTTATTAATCGCTAATGCAGATCATCTTTATCCTCGATCTAAATCCAAGTTTGTCCTATTTCAGGTTCAATCGTAGATATTAATTTGGAACATTGGAAATTTGACCTGGGCCTACATTAACATTCGATTAAGCGGCCATTGGTGACATGAAGCAAAATACCACCAAAGGCGAATCTCTTTCAAATGGGTCTTGTCTGAGTGGGAAGGTAAGTGCAAATACCAATATTCCTGGAAATTGAAGCTGGCTCCGACTTAAGCCAAGTAAATTAATGGGGTCTTAAGTGATGTTTGCAATAAGACGTGATTAGATTACGATTATCCACAGAACACAGGCCGCAAATTTAACGATTCGTGCTAATAGAACATTTTTTTCTAACTGAAAACGTACAATGACAATCTCCTGCTGAAATTATGCTCACGGCTTGAAATTGGTGAGATTTTCGTCATTTAGGCGGTCGTGAAAAAAATATCGCCCTAACGTTTCCCAAGCACGAGTCACCTGCATCCTCAGATATGTTTTTCGTCTGAGCATGCAGGACCAAAACTTACCATTTTAACATTGTATTATTGTTGTTTGCCCGGTTCTTCAACCCATTAATCCATTGCAGATTTTCAATTCTCATCTTATACACATGTAGTGATTGTCATTGAATCCTCTATTAAGATACAATCGGCAGTCTATGAAAATATTTTGAATTGATAATATCAGTCCACTTGTACAATTGGAAATGCGAAAAGACACTTGACTAATTGTGATATGCATTTCAATCAACTTATCGGCGATGAAATGTTAAAGAAATGGATAAACAGCTCGGTGTTCTAGTTGTTTCACTGTCTACTGACATTTGATAAGTTTGATTGATGGAATAATCCATGCAACAGTTCAGGGTTCATTAGTAGGAACATAAATTTGCAAAAAAATGGTGTTTGTTTAAGTATCTGAAGAGTCTCTAAAGGAATCTTCCAGACCTGATTTTTTCAAGCCAAAATTAAAAAAGTTTCCCAACAACATAATTTTTCAGCATCGTACAGTCGCTTCTTGAATTTTACATCAATCAATGTGGTTATCTAATACTGAATCGCTAATATTTCAGCCAATAAAACGGTTGAACATTGAGTGTTGCTACCGTTTTGCAGCCAACATGATAATTTCAAATGTTTTTAAATAATTGTTAAGAAAAGTCGTTTTGCCAAACAATAATCCAAGAAACTCGGTTAAAGCGACGTGAAACTGTGTATATCGGTAACTCATTTAGATCTGATTTACTCTCTCTACTCATTTCCATATAATAATAAGCCGGCACTTGTTGCTTCATCCCTTCAGCGCGCAGTGGAGCGACATCATAATAGTGCCAAAAGAAAAGGATTTGCACAGCAATGTCCTTACTTTATTGCAGAAATTGTAAAAACCTGTAGCAACTACCTAAACGGTATTGGAAACCTTTAGAAAGGCCTTAAGTTAATGTAAAAAATGGCCAACAAAAGCAATCCAAAGTCTTAAATCATAAAGTAAATTGTTTTTTCAAAGCACGCTATTAACTGAACTTTTTGTTGACTTCTGTCATGTTCCTCAGCTTATAATGGCTCAAATTGAAAGTGAAGCTAATCCGCTTATGAAGCTTCGCTCACGCAATCCTAGTCACGCTACCAGAAAAAAATTGTATTTGGGTTCCAGCACATTTGACTGGGAATAGTCGCATCTTTTCCAGTCTCCAACATTTTTTCTTGTTGATTGAAACACCAACTGTGAAATGAAAGAATTGAATCGGAAATACTTTCATTAAGTTAATTTTTCGGGTCGCTGTTTAATTTAACTTTAATGCCGCCTAAAAAGGCCGGTCACAAAAATTAAAATCCACATCTGTCTATAAATGAATGGCGCAAAAATGAAGATAATAAAACAGGAATTAAAAATTCCGCAAAGCCTAGAATAACGCCTGCATGCAGAGGTGCTGAGACCAGAACGGTGGAGAAAAATCAGGCGAATTATGCCAACATAACTTGGAAAGAAAGGGGCTTGAAAACCAGAAAATGTGAACAAGGGCCTTTTAATCAAGTGTTTTGCGTCTGGTTTTTCCACGTTCAAGCTCAAGGATTGTGTTCGAAACAGCAGAAAAAAATGAGTTCATTCAAAATCAATTCAGTTAGTATATTGTGAAGGAAACGCTCATTGTTCTCCTGGATGTTAGAATTGTCAGATTATGAAACCGGCGGGGGGTAATTGAACTTGAGAGTTTCATTAATTTCAGCAAGCGGGGAAGAACGAATTTCAATGAAACTTTGGAAACAGTTTACTCATATATGACATTTTACTGCGTTTTTTCAATTCTCCTCTTGCTTCCGAAAGTAGGATAATCCGCACAAAAGCCAATTTCAATAAAACTCGTCAACAAAGCGAATTAATAAATATGAAAATGTGCAGTCGCTTGGAATTGTTTTGCCTGTTAAAGAGCGCATCGGAGCAATTTTGAAGAAATACCTACAGTAGGCGCTTGGAGTCAGTAATTACTTAATTTACATACTATAAATGAAATACAAACGGCAGTAGATTAGGAGATTTTTAAAGAATACATTTCTAACATGCCGATGTTACACATTTTTTTGAAGATTCCTCGAATCTGTTATTGCGCTCGACAAAATGTTTTATTATTTTGTAAGCAAATGTGCTTTAGATTAACTGATCTTTCCGCCCATGCTATTTACATTACATAAATGCTTAATTACTTAATTGTAATTGTAGTCTTGCAATCGTTCAATTAGGGAGGTCGACAGAGGAGCGAAACGGGATTTTATTGCTTCTTTAGGGAGGCATAGAGGTTCTGAATCAGTTTTTCTGAAAGCCTAATAATATTTTTTCGTTCATATAGTAAAAAGTTTGAAGAATTTAGCAGTGGATTTAATTTTTTTGGTGGTGGTGGTTCGCTCTCAGAATGTGTCCACAGTCTGTATTTGCCTGGAAAAAAATTTGCTAACGCTATTGCATTAACAAAGTGAAGTGTGTCATGTGTTTTCCTTCTACTTGCAGTATCATTTAGCGTATTAAAATCCGATATTGAGCATGGACGTAATTGAAAAAGGAAATTAAAGATGCAACATTTTTCACTGCATCGATGTTTGCAATTCCACTTAATCAGAGAACGAACGCTAGAGGAGTTGATCATTTTATTAAAAGTAGGTAGGTGAAAGTCCTCTCAAAAATAGAAAATTATTTTCGTGAGAAAACGAATTTCAGAATTAGATCGATGACGGTTATTTTCATATGAGGTCGACTGAGCGTAAAAGGGCAAAAGAATAAAGAAGGAAAAAAGGAAATTTCTTTATATCGCGCTATTATTATTACTTCCACTTCATGGCGAAGAAGTATTGGTAAATATATTTCAATATGTTGACGAGGTTGCAAAGGTGGCATTTTGACAAAGAGGTGATTTTTTTTGTAATAGACGCATTTGGAAATATTTTAAGTAGTCCGGACTATTGGAAGGAACTTAATACCTAATAAAGTATTTCCAACTTTGAAACTATCCAATCTGAAAATTCAATTACCTACTACTTGATGTTAGTTCCCTCGAACCTACCTCACAATTAAATATTAATTTCAACTTATTGAAGTTATTGCATACGCCGTGCAGATTTGCGATTAAATTGTTTCTCGTTGCTGATCTCCTATTTCAATTGTAATAAACGATCTTCTTTCACATTTTCACAGGGGAAATAATAAATTAGATAATAAATGGTTCAATTCCAGAGCTCTAGATGCAATTTAAAACTTCATAGTGAGATATCACTTCCAATATACTTTCAACGATCGAAGCCAAAGGCTAAAACTAACTAAAACTGGACCAAAGTAAGAAGATACATTCCATTTTGCAACCACTGATTGATGGTTTAGAATAATGTATTTCATTTACTTCGTGCCCGTGCACCGGCGAACATATTTCTTCCAGAACTTTCATATTTTACGTACTATGACATACTAAAGTCTTGGATATTTCAAATTGCATGTCAAGACATATGTCTACGCATAAACCTAAGTCGATAATCTGTTTCTAACTGAAAAGTAGCCAAGTTTTCCATAACAGAAAACCCGGAAAATGTAAATAATTTCATTTTGGATTTATTCTTCTGTACTGGTGCGTTTCTCACTTCGCTAGAATTCGGCAATCTCGCTTCTTAGTTTGAAATTGTTGGATCCAAACAACGAAATAATTTCATATTTCGATTCACAAAGTTTTAATTCATTTTTATTTAAAGGTGCCACATTGTGTAAATAATTTTTCATTCATTTCATTTCCAATGAACGTTTTTAAACTCAATACAATTATAAAGCAGTAGTATTTCATTATTTTCAAAAATTCTTATTCAAGATGAAAACTGAATCAAATCAATTTAATCCAATTTTTTCAAAAGTATAATAGCAAATCAAACATGAGTAGATTTATGATTGATTGTGTAATTGAACCCGGAAAACAATATTGTCACGTCAATCATCATGTGATTGATACTGCCTTGTTTTCTTAAAATGTCCACCTATGTTCTAAGCCCCAGCTTTGGATGATCCACTCCGAACTGCCAAATTTAATGTTAAAGGCATTTTTTATATAGAAAATCTCGAGAAACAAAGCATGAGCGTTTGGTTTGGATTTCACTAAACTTCAGTTTCAGTATTCTGTTCGAGATTTTCAAATCGCTGATAATGGCACACCAATTTCGTTTCATTAGCGCCTTAGAGAGCAAAAATATTTCGTAAAAGACGACTTGAAAGGGCTTTTAAATTATACAGTAAATCTTATGTCATAAACACTTTATGTGAAACGTTAAATTGTAAGTCGCTTAATCTTCTCAAAATTTGAATCCTTTTAGCTTTCATGGAGTTGAGAAAACATTTCGTTCGGGGAGTTGATTTTCGCCGAAAAGTATTTATTTGGAGAAGTACTAAGTACTTAATTACTTTAGGAATGTGGCTGATTAAATTAAGTCTTGACATTTAATTATAATATGAGATATTTGTGAACTTATCTAACCTGTTTTCCTTTGATTAAAAACGTTTCAAAGTAACATTAACTAAATAAATTCATCGCATAGTTGCGCTTCAAAATTACACAATCGAATTTATAAATCTCTGAAGAAAACTTTATTTATATAAGCTAGACGAGTAAAATTTAGTTAGCAGCCATAATGCACAGTTTACTCAGTTTTCGATAATTAATTCGACTAAATTAAGTTTTCGCCAAGAAACAAATTGCGTTTGCGAATATCAGATCCACCGCAAGCTTAGCAAAATGCTAGCCATTAATAACGTTCCAATTGATACACGCATTAGTAATTGACAAATAACATACTCAGTAAGTAAAACTAAGCGAGCATTTGGGTTACGAAGCTATAAAATAGCGATCGAAAATAATTCCCTTATTGCACCGAAAAGTAAAATTCAGTTTCAATTCAAATTACTTTTGCATTAATGGCATTTAACCGGCGATTTCAAAACGCCCGCACTTCTTTACCGAAACCAATTAATTATTTATAATATTTATATAAATATCTACCGTTACAATCAAAATGTAATTAATAAACAACGATTTTTCTGACATGACATGTCCGCTGATTTATATTCAATTTATTTTGTAGCATTTGGTTTTGACCAAACGAATTAATCTCATTTCGAGCTTTAAATAAAATGTTCGTTGAAATTTAGCTAAACTGCAAAACGCCAATGCATTTGGATCACATTTAATATTTCAATTACCATTGAAACTGATATGTTTCACTTTGCAAGTTTGACTAAGTTTTGCCAACATTTTCTATTGAAATCCAGCAAGTTGCTAATTTGTTAGTGGAAAATTATACAAAATTGGATTTCGGGTACCGAGATTCAAGTAGTAGTTTTAAACGGCGCGTATTAATTAGTTTTGATGAGAGAGTTTTAATGAAAGATGCGCCTTTATCCGAGCATCAAATACACGATTGATTAGAAAAAATGATCTGAAAGTTGATGCATTTAATGAGTAGTTTTATGCCTTTTCTGTTGACTTTTTGGCATGAGGGTTCAAATATACAAAATGATTGAAATTAATCTTCAATCATGATAAAGATATTCAAAATACATATACCAAAAGAAGCGTTCCTCCATAAACTGTACGCTTCAAAATTGCCGCACTAAACTCAACTCAAATATATCTAAAAAAGTTTAGTGAGTAACTTCAAAAAACTTCTCAAACGCACTAATTAACTCGACTAACTCAGTAATCGTCTTATCAGTCAAATATATTAAAAGTGGGTTTTAAATACAAACATAAATTGTGCAGACGCCTTAAAATTAAAACTACTTAGCGCCCTAGCAAAAAATCAGTGGGGAAACTAGAGGTAAAAAGTTTCTAAAGTAGCTGAAAAGTTTTCCAGTGGACTTACCACGGAAACTTCGGAAGTTCTGGAGAGGAGATCTCGCAGACTAGCGCGCACTAAAGTTCTGACGCAACTGAGCGCTGGAGTTAGAGTCCAGGAACGAAGAGCATCCCATTTTCGGGAAACTCGAACTTCAAAACGCGCTTGTCTATTTCCCTGTTCAAATATATTAACTGTAGAAGCGTTTTTCGATTTAAAACTTGATCAGAGTCCTCTCTTTTATTTGGTTAACGCCGAAACCCATATCCAGGTTAATAGCAAAAATTTACGATTACTTACCTTACAAAAAATTTTAATTAATTTGTTTCAAAACTCTGCAATGTTTTGATACGGAACAGTCCAAACCTAATGGGGATTTTGGTTGAAGAAAGCTGCAGATCGTCATTTTTTGTATTTTTTTATTCATTGTACATCCGAAGTAATATTGGAACTTTGAACACATTTCTTGTCTAAAAATTTAAAGAAAAAATCCGATCAATAGCGACTGTTTACGTCGCAGATTGTTTCCTTAAGAGAAGCTCTCTATAAACTGTTTATACAACCATAATAGCATTTAGCAACTTCAGCTGCTCTAATAGTAATTTGATAATATATAGTTTTAAAGCAATTGCTGAAAATCCAGCAGAATCTTTTAACAAGATGAGCTTGGCGGTTTGTTGCGGAGTAAATTGCTCTTGAACAGTTTTCTATTAGTTTCACCACTGCATATGCTAGGAAGCTGGTAAATAAAGTATGAAACGTTGCATGAACACTACAAGCTAAATGTTGGCGTGTACCCAAACTGTCTGGAGATGGCGGATAATATTGAAATTATCTAATCCTGCTGAAGATGAATAAATGTTGCTATTTTGGATATACCGTATACGTGACAAACACAATTTCTGGGACGCACTTTTGCCATTTATTTAACGCAAAAGGTGGTTTTAGAATTTTAAATTAACCAGATTTTCATGCGGAAATACTTTTATATGTCAGCTCTACGTTCGACGAGTTACTTCCATCAATACCTCAAGTTAATCTAGCAATTAGGAAAGAGTTGAAGGCAAGCCCTCATTATTTGAGGATTACTCCGAGCGACAACGGAGCAGGCTGGTTAATGATTTTCTATAACTTTGCAGAATCGGTTTCCAAATTATTCGATCGGCCTAGTTACTTTCAATTAAAGCGAACATTTTTTATGTTTTTATGGGCTTGAAAATTGTTTTCTTGTGTAGCATGTTTATTGTGATAAATATTAATTCCATCCCGAGTTGATAAAACTGACATTCTACTGCAACTAAAATTAATTTAAGCAATCATCTGTTCGCACAAACCAATAGAAAAAATGGAATCTTAAATAAAAATATCCTTCTTATTTCATCATTAGGGACAAGACTATCACAGTTAGTTAAGTCTTAGTTGTGTTGTTAGTTCACAACTTTTAATTTATTTTTGTAAAAATGTTTCATTGGTTTTTAAACTGCAATTAAACAATCAGACGCAAATAAAATTCCTACGCAATAAAAAAAACCCGCTGTATATTGGTGAAAATAATCAGTCGTTTTACTAGAAAAAGAAAGTAGACAATGGAAACTAATCCCAATGCTACCCTGTGTCGACAGCAAAGTGATTTATAAATATATCATAAATTAAAAAACAATAACTGAGCGCAGTAATTTTTGATAAATGTAACGCAAATAATTCGTTATGAAACAAAAACGGTAATTGTATAAAATGTACGGTAAAACAATATTGAGCAAAAATAATTTAGTATGAGTTAGTACTTGCTAAATATGTACATGATTCAGCTCTTCTATAGAAACGCATACATTTGAGAAGTCTTTAAAACAACTTGATTTTTCGTGCGAACGAACGTGCAGCGCCACTGATCTGCTCCTTAAGAGAATAATAAATTAGGCTTGTCGTGATTTTTAAGGTGCGCGTAAATAAAGAAAACAAAAACCTATTTACCTTGATGGCATTCCTATCAGGTGAACGTTCGTTTTAACTTTCAAAAACAACTCAGACTTATCGAACTGGAAAGACTTCTGTTTGTCGGATATTTTTAGGAAATGTGCAATTTTTTCCTACCTGCTGTTGCAGGTTGTTATTAGTCTTATGCTTTTAAGGTAAATGTTTATTACTAGTCGGAATTTAAACTAGCTATGCGGATTTTGTTGGTGAATAAAGCGTTTTGATGGTAATGCTTTGATAAATAATAACTTTGCTTAATGAAATTTACTAAAACTCTATCTAGCAACTGCAAAGAAACAAAATGCAAATTATTTCTTCATGACCCTCATAATTGAAGCGAAAAAGTTGTTTATTAGTTATATTTTGCTAATATTGAATATTTTCAATTAAAAAAAGGTACATTTCAAGTGAAGTGCAAAGGATAAGTAGGTACTAACCAACGGAACAATCGAATTTTTATTTTTGCGTCGCATGTACACTTCCTAGCGCTTTTTAGATATGCTTTATCAATACATTAGGCAATAAAATAATTGAAATCGGCAAAATCCGCACCGGTTTTAATAACGCTGATATTTTCGTGCTTTTCCACTATTTCTCGACGCTTTTAACAGTCGCAGAAAATTCACACCTTCAACTGCTTGAGGTTTCATTTATTATGCAAAATTTGCTACAATTAAGTGTTAATTTGAAATTTACTAAATAAATAAGTGTAATGGACACAATTTTTAGGAAATTGAAAACCGAAGACGTAAGACAGCGGCAAAGCCAAAGTCCTAAAAATGGGTCTTAATTGAAGTGATTTTCTATTGATTACAAAGTATTAATGAAATAAAATAAGTAAAAATCAAGTCAATTGAAAAAAATCGCAACCCAAAATTCGCTGACTAAGAACGTTCTATAAGTGTTCACCATAAATATTTGCGATAAACATAAGATAAAAGCATACACACAATACAATAAAAATAAACGTGAATCCATGTTTTCTTAGTAAAACATCTAGTTCTTAATTCCAGCTGATTGATATCTTATGTCAATAAACGTATTTGCGGCTTGTGTTATTACAATTTTTAAAATTCATTAGCTTTTGAAATTGTAAAACTTCCAGTTATCTTTTGTCTTTAGTAATTAAAACACGTGGAAATAACTGAAAAATACACGGCTTTTTACGGATGATGAATGTATCAAGTAGCAAGTTTAAAAAATGTTAATTTAACGGCGAAGAGATATGTAAATAACAAACTACCAAGTCGGTTGCAAAAAATGTATAACAAACTTGAAGGCAATAGAGAAAATGCGAGAAAAACGAAATTATTACTAAACATGTCAGAGGGAAGACTGAAAAAAGGGTAGGAAATGAAAAGAAAATTGAAAAAAATTCACACAGGAAAATCGTAGAATAATAGCAATAGTGTTTTGATTTGGAGGAAGCCTAAAGTAAATGAAAATACGACTACGAGAATCCGTTTGAATAAAAAAAGTAAGTCGATTAAACCAAGAATATGGTAATATAAGTACTGATATAACAGAAAAAAAGGCAGGCTCAAGTACAAAATCAGTTGATTTCAAAACCGAGTAATCAAAATGCGGAAGGAATTTTCTATTAAAATGAAAAAAAAATTCCGATTGTGATGAGATGATAATGAAAACAATCATAAAACACTTGATCTACAACGCCAGATATAACAGGGGGCAAGTAATCAGTAGCAGGAAAAAATTTACCTTGAGAACAGAAATTAAATTTAACAATAAATAAAAAAGTTGATATAAATTTTCAAGTATGTACTACATTCAATAAAACACTTGAATTTAATGTACATCAGGAAACTAAACACGATTCGAGCAGAGCTGAAGATGTCAACCCACTCATGCTTACAAAACATCGTAAAAAAATTTCATCAGTCTATGGATTTTAATATTGAACATTTGCCATTTTCAAACATTATAATAAGTAACCTTTGAAGGACTAACTAATTGTTAATAATTAATTTTATTTCTGTATAACAAAAACGAAAATATGGTGGGAATATTTATCAAATTTTGCGGTTTTCTTCATTCTAAACAGTCTTTATGAAAAGTGGCTTCTCAAATGATGTTTGATGTTTAATTCTTGTTTATCCACTAATTGTCGTTTCGACAAAACCGGTTTTGCTGCAACAAACTGGAAAGAAACCACACAATAAAAATAAAATGACATTTTATTAGCGCTGGAAACTACAAAATTTTGAACATATTTTCAAATAATTATAACTAGTGTCTTGTGGTAGTCAAAACTAAAAAACTTATCTACTTTAGGATATATAAATGAACATGTGACATTGATAAATCGCATTGCCTACCTTTCACCTTGTAAATTCATAGAAAATAAAATAGTAAACATATCAAAAATAAATAATTTTTTGCAATTTATGTACACAATGTAATATACAAACTGGGAATACTTAATTAATTATCACATAATCCTTAGAGGTAAAATACTTTCGATTGCACATACCCGGTCTTGCATTTACAAGACGTTATTAAGTAATTTCATTAAGATTTAAGCCAGAGGCGGAATGTTGTAAGTTAATTAACTATGCCTTGCCATTTTTGAGACCATTTGAATAGCAGTTAAGTGTCTCCTCTTCGGATAGTAAGCTAATGGTGCCTTCGAATCTTTTGCCTTTGACTCTTTGCTCGATATGTTCGCCAGCATAGGATAATAACGGTGAAATTTCAACATCGACTCCTTCCGTAACAATACCGCCAGCTTCTTCGATGTAACTTTTATGCAATACTAATAAATCTCTTTTAGCGGTCGACGGACAGTCTTTCCCAACACTGTCAGGGTTCTTGAGAGCGCTAAATTCGGAGATACGAGGTACTTCCCACGTAACGAATTTATCTGTGAATTGAAATACATCAAAAATAAATTTTTCGATTTTAATGCCGTTGGGTTCGGAAGGTTTTATGTGGTCGCCGTTACGATCGACGTAAGGAATCTTCTTTTTGGCCACATGCAATTTCAGCTCTGACTCATGCTGTTTTGCCACCCGTTGTAAGAAGGATGTGGAGAAGAAATGGTTGCAAATATTACCAGAACTGAATACCAATTTTCCAGATGGGTCAGTCAGATTTGCTGTTTTCTCGGTAATTTCACTATATTCCACTACTTGGTATTTGCCATCGACTTTGCAAACGACTCCCACAGCTTCATTAGGGCTATTCTTGCTGACAACTTTAGCTCCACATTCCGCTTTCTTCTTCACGCAGTATCCAAGAAAGACCGGATCGGCAACTTTAACTAGGATATTATCCACACTATGAGCGTGAACGTATTTGATTCCTCTTTGCTCCATATCGTCCAGAATATGTCGTTCGCTGAGCGCTCGATAAATGCCTCCGTTTCCATCAGGAGCCATGGCAACTGCGTTCTTTTCATCTAGAAGAAGTTTTCCATCGAAGTCGAAACAAGGCAACAGGCCCTGTTGGAATAAAATGACATCGTCTTGATTTAGGCCGAAATAGTCGTTTTTCTCCAAGAATTTCTTCGTGGTGGCATTAGTGGGGCCACTGGTCATGATGTACCAAACAACACTTCCAACTCTTCCAGTTTCTTGCTTGGCCAAGTTGATCACTCTTCTGATTCGTTCCGCCTGGATTTGGAACAAAGATTTTCCTGACGGAAGATTGACTGAGTACATTCCCTTGGGATAGTTGACTCCAAGTCGCGTCCCTTGTCCGCCAGCTAGAAGAAGAACCGCAACGCGACCCTTGGAAATTTCTTCTAATCCAATGCTTCGGTAAGTCATCAGTTCTTCCTTGTCAGCATTCTTCTCCGATCCGAATTGGTCGGCTGGAACTGGCTGCATTCGCGCGTCCACTTTTTCAACATCCTCGGTAATTGATTCTTTCGCTTTCCGGAAGAGCGCATTCACTTCTTGAAATTTAATTGTTTTCAGTTGTTTTAAAAAACTTTCTCGTTCATTTTCGTCCAGTTGGTCAACGAACTTTAAAATATGGTCTTGCTGGTACTCGACCAGCAGTTCTCGCATTTTTTCTATCGAACTCATTTCGATTACCGAGAGTAAACACTCGCGATTTTAGTCATTCGCTTCTCAAGAACGGTGAACTTATATGACGAGGAATACCCTCGTCGAAGCCTTCTATTATATGCCACGCTTGCCGAGTCCATTCTCCCAATCACCTGGCGTTGCCGCTAATCTGTAGTACACATACTTAATACTCAAAACAATGTTGCCATTAGTTATTCGTTTTTCTAGCCTTTTTATGTTTTTTTTATTTTATTTTCTTATTATAACTATTTTCACTTTTAACAAGACGTTAATTTAAACTTGCAATTAGGATCGTTGCGTTTGAAAAACTGGTGATTTTCGGATCAGTAGGTGAGCACACCTCTGAAGATGCTGGCTATGCGTGCTAACGAAACGTTGGGACCAAATTGCTATCCAAGTCGCCCTTCTGACCCGAAACTCTCCAGTTCTTTTTATATTCAGATCACTTGCCGTTCTCGTTATACCGGCGCAAACAGTTTTTAATTTTAAGTTGAACGCTCTGTATAGAGCTCTCTTAATTTGATCATTTCAGACACATTTAGTCTAATTGTTTGGCTACACATTGTCCAATTAGAGTGAATTATTGTTTCTTTAGTCTTTAGTTCATTACCGCTCTTTCATCAGAAGTATCGAGATAAAGTTTAGACTTTTTTAGGCAGAGCTAAGAAAATTGACAATTTGCGAACAAACGCCTGAATAAAGCTGAGCTGAGCTGAGCTAAAGCGAGCTGTTGCAAATGAATTTTTGCTTTAACACTAAAGTATGAATTAATAAAATTTCATTTTTATGTGATTGTCTCGATATCAAGTAGTTAAAAGTTTTACTCTATTTTTTTTATAAACGGGTATTTTAATGGCTTATTTTGTTGCGCTAGAAACTTTGAAGATTTATGGATTTGCACATTTTTATAATTCTGTTGATTCCAACACTTTGGCAAATCAAAACCGATGCTGCTTTTTTACTCGTAACACCTTACGCATATATTTAAAGAATTTCGACATATGTGTGCTTAAAACCGGGGACGGGGTTAGAAAAATATAATTGCTGTATTTTTTGCATTTTTATATGCTTATAATGCAGCTTTATAATGTTCACCTATATGGATGGATCGAACCACTGATACTGCCAAATATCAGTGAAAAATTCTTTTGCAAAACTAATCAACGATAAATTCAATTCGGATTGCGCTAGACGCATTTATTCAGCATTCAATAAGCAGCTTTTTTCAGTGGTTGCAACATTTTCCAATTTCTTTTAATTCGTTTATATTTACAGGCTATTTTTTGATCAAATCAATTTTTTGTCTGCCATATCAGATAACGGCTAATTATAGGCATGAAGAAGAATGAGAGTGGGTAAATCCAGCACTTGAACGATTTTTGCCATTTTTGAAATTTTTTTGTCAACACTTTCAGATAGGTGCATTGTTTTCGAAAACTCCATAATATCTTAATCAGATATAGTGTATTTAAGTACACGACTTGCCAATTTTAAACAGTGGCGTATGTATATTTATTGCTTTAAATTTCTTATCGGAGCGTACAAATTTGTTTAGGAATTTCAAGTTCATAGTAGTTATAGATACGTCAGCCCACATTAGGAAGTCTATTGCCGTTATTCGCCGACTACAATTACTAAAGTTGTACCTATTTTAAATTTCCGTAAATAGCATTAGATGGAAAAATTATTTGTTTATATTGCAATAATCCAATATAACAAAAATCTAATTTTTAATGAATCAATCGGATAATATCTATCTGATCGAAAATCCTTAAAAAAACTCTACAAGAAATGACGACTCGAATCTGATAAAAGTATATTTTCAATATTTTTCCAATTGGCATTACCATAAAGAATATCCAACACTAATTTGCGTGCTGGCGGTTAATGGCATCTTAAACGTGTCGGGTTTTTTCGAAGTGAAAGGGCAATCAAAGAACCTCAAATCGTTGCTTCTGACGACCTTAACAAAAGGTAATATATCTAGAATGCTGTGTCTACTTTCATATTAAAACTATTCGATATTTAAATGTAATATTGTATAATGGTTTCCGAGCAAATCCGAGGTCAGTGTGTAGAACGAAATGAAAGAACAAGTTTGCGGTGTAATAATACACTTAATGTCACTGGGAGACCTTAATATTCATTTCTAACCAGGAACTTTCACTATTTGTTTGTTTTTTACAAATTTTCTGTTTCCTAGTCTGCAACCAGTTCATTGGCGTTCGTCGATGCAACATTGTTATTCGCTTTGCTTTGTTCTGATCGGTTTCTTGTCCCGACTCTTTTAGATGCACTTTACAAAAAGTGCAAAATTTACACAGAATTTAAGAATCAAGTCACAAAAAACTACATGTTTCTCTATATTTTTTCACTTTTTGTGTATCCTTAAAAGCGGGTTGTTGGCCATATAATCTACTATTTCTACTTTTTAGTAGAAAAGGAATATTTGTATGTGGTTTTCCCAGCGTTGTGCACTTACCTGGCTCTCGAAGATATGTCATAAAATAAAATTAATATATAAAGGAAATGAACTAAATAAAAAACATCTTGACGCTTTTAAAACATTTTTAATTTTTTTTTAGTGTCACTGGAAGACATTTCAGACAACACACTTCCTCAACACGCGCTAAAACTATCTTAAATTAAGCTATACAAATACACTTAAATGCAAGGAGTTGAGCAAAGTACTAAAAAAACCACTGAATATCACATTTTTTTTTATTTTTTATTTTAATTTTTCACTGTTATCCGTGCCTAATATCGAAACAAAGGAAATTTGATTCAATACTTCACTTTCCTGAACTTTTAATTAAGAGTAATTAGTTTTCAAAATTGACATTGTACAGTCGGTTTGGCAATACTACTTTCGGGGGGTAATATTTCATGAAAACTTCCAGATTTAAAGCATTTTGTGTTAATTTGGTGAAGACCAATATTGTGACTAAGGTAAACCAGCTAATTTAGTTATTCTGGAAAGCAATTTGCTGTAAATTTTTGGTAGCAAATCAACAAATTATAGATGTTGGTAAATAATAATTGTCACAATACTGCCTTGAATACAAATATATGCAAAATGTAAAACTCCTTGCTATTTCCTTACAGAACTTAAGGTACATTTTGAACAAACCAATAGTAATATTGAAAGAGTTTAACTGAAACGAATCATTAAATCACCCAAAAATAACATGTTAATTAAAATAAACCCTAAGAAGAAATATGTCTATATAACAGAATTATAGAGAATTATATCGAAATTAAATTGCCCGAATTTAGTAACTAATAACTTTCAAATAATGTTGCAATATACACTATATTTCCATTATATAAACATATATTATGTATTACATATAGTATAGTTTTATCAAAATGTGCTCACTATTGTTACTCGTTACCATCCTAAGTCATAACTCAAAATTGTATTTGAAAATGAATTAAAGTAACAAACAGTTATTACAAGTAACACAAAATAAATGACTAAATATGATGCCAAAGCAATATTAAACGAACGTTTAATAGCATGAGTACGACTTGTAAACATGCTATTAGGCATTTGCGTCGACTACGCGAGTATTCCTATAGTGAGCCTTTATATTTACATAAACTTTTTTTATTTCCGACAACAAAAAAATACTTATAAATGTAGTCATGACTAATAAAATTGTAACATTCATAACTAATAAAAACCAATATGGTCCATCGCTGATTTTTTTTCTAAATATTATGTAGTGTTTTCTGTATTGATCTGCTGGAGTATGCATTTTCTTCAAAAATAATTAACACTTTTATCGATTTATTTTTAAGTATAATAGTTTATATTTAAATCAATTGTCAGAAATAAGCGGTTTGTAATCAAGTACTATGTTTAAGTATTGTTTTATTTTCGAAACTGAAAACATGTTCCAAGAAAAGCACACCAAGAAAATGGTGTAAAAATGCAAAGAATTTATAATCCAAATTATTATTCCTCAACTAAATAGTTGAGACAAAAAACACGGAGACCAACGAGAGCAACTATTAGAACTATTACTAGTTTTTAAGAAAAGTTGTATTCTTAAAAACTAAACCAAAAAAAACCCAAACTAACCCAAACTGTTCCAACATGGAAAATGTATTTAAATTGTTTTATTGAGGGGATTGTTTGAAAACCAAACTCATTGTTCTCTATCAAAATAGAATTATATTTAATAATTCTGTACAATCGACTAAGATGTAAGCAAACTAAAGGATTTGAATGCAGATCATCGTATTTTGAAATTAAACAGCGCTTCAAGAATCGCCATTATTTCTCGCAAATATTTTTTACGAACAATTTCGAAGGATATCAAAAGATTCATCTGAATCTGAGAAATCTAATAATACTACGCTAAATAAAATAGTACTAAGCAAATCGGTTATGATAGGACATAACCGATTCGAACAGAACTGTTGGATAAATGTGGTGTACACACAGCGATGAATTAGTTCAACCATGAAAATCAGCTAAGAATAAAAAATAAGGAAAAAACGCGAAAACTCTTGCAACAATGTAATAACAAAAACGAAACAGAACCTGCAGAAACGTGACTGCGATAATTTTCAAGATATCTAGAAAATATTACTTTCTTGCAAACTCATAGTATGTAGCATGTCACATTTAGTAATAAAAGGTGACAGGTAAAATTGGGTTACTAATATGTTATTCTATAAAATTCTATAAAACTGTTTAGGAACTCTGAACATTGTTAATCACATTACGCTACTTCCGTGTTATCCCCTACCTATGTTCTAATCGCGAATATTTGTCGCAATATTGGAATTATCGCAAAACGTTTCATCAGTAAGTAAATCCAAAGGAATAGAAATACAGGGTACTACGGTTTACAAACTTGAGTGGCTTACGCACGAATCGTAAACCCGCTCCAATAAGAAAAACAGATTCAAATTCCAGAATCCACTACATAAATATGTGAATCGAATTCCAATCTACCACAACAGCAACTATAGAAAAATATTAAACTTATGTTCTCCATTTTTTTTACATTTATAGGCAATGGCACCAATACGTAAATACTAATTACACGTTTTTACATCAGTTTTTTGCATATTTTTCATTTTTAACACTTGCGCTAATGCAATATAAAAAATTCAAAAAGCGCATTTTTAAACATTACTTAGAATTGAAGCAATTATTTAGGTTACCACTACAAGAAAGTAAAAAACATTGAGTTGTGAAGCAAAACAAGTTTGGCTTGCTCGTGAGCTATTCGGTGGATGAATTTTCACTTGCACCTAAAAACATAATATTACAATTACACAACATGTACCTATCAGTCAATAAATTTTTATCAATATTTTCAATACTTGGGGAACGGTACAGGCAATATTTGCACGAAGGATGCTATTTTCTCGGAAATATCTGGGAAAGAGTTATGATATATCGCACTTAATGCATTTTTTTATTGCAGATAAACTTCTAGTGATAAGTGTTTAAAGTTGTTTAAACTCCGAAGCAAGAGGTTTTTTAAAAAATTACACAAATCTTAATATTTTTTTAATTAAGAATCGTTAAATGTACCACACAGCATAAGCGCCTTTCCACACGGGCAACTTCGTGGCGCAACACGGACGCGACCATCGATTTAGCAGCGCTACGGTGGTGTGCTAATGTATGCATCGATCATATTGTCAGTTTTAAAATGAGCTCGAATAGTTAACAACATTTGCTTCTTTTAATAAGGATCCGCCGACAACAGCGTCTTCGACAGGCAAAAAAAGAAGATTCTAGGTGCTCCCATTACTGAGTGAACGGCCTACGGGGAAAAGGCCTGTTTTACAATATTGTATACAGATCTTTAGAAGATCCTGATACAATTTTGCATGCTGCAAATTGAGCCCGAATTATCGCTCACTATATGAACAGCTGGCGCCTCCTTTTGAGATCAGCAGATTTATATCAAAAATATTTCTTCTTCTCGCACGCCCATAAAGTTTCCAGTAAAACACCAACATCAAGTTGATTTGATCATCATGGCATATGATCTGTCTACTGATATGAATAAACTTCTCTGTCGGTTCGCTCTCCTCCCGAAAATCAATATCGTGCTGCACATTTACTGGCCGGTTAGCGACTTAGTAACTGCTGTGATGTTAAAATCAGACATATTGAAGGTTCATAGTGACCAAGATTATGATAGACTCGTTATGTACTCTGGATGTGGGATTAGTTTAGAAAATTAGAACTTCAAAGATAATATTAGGGAATAATTCCTGCAGCTCAAGCAAGAATGCTACCTAACCCTGCTAGCGATTGGGGAAACGATTTGTAGTTTTAGACAAGCAAGTTCAGATAAAATCGAACGCAACTGCGCTAACCACTGTCCAACATGCAAAAGACCATGATGCAAGCAACTAGATTTTTGGTTCACAACATAATTTTTTATAGTAATTCAGTTAAAGTTCAAATATATCTCCTTCTGCACAATAACCAATACATGTAAACATGGTCACTGCAATGGATTTGATTATATAATAGCAGAAGCTTTGAACAATTCCGCTTATTAACCAGTCAATTCTACAAACAAATTGGACCCCACAGATTTTGTTTCTTTTACATGGTTTTAAATTGAGACGTTTCAAATTGAGATTTATGTAAGGTTCGTCACAATCAGTCGCAAACCGACATTTTAGCCGTACGGTGTGAGCCCAGAACGACACGGAACTGTACTGTATTGTGTGTGATAACCGTACAGGTCTTTACTACCCAGTATTTTGCTTTATTTGAAGTTGATCAAATTGACCTTTTGACCCAATTGATTTGAGTTGATCAATCAGACTTAACATCGCTATAATTAATACCTTAAAACGTAATATAATAAACGCTCTCCCTGGTGAGCAAGAATTTGGGGCTTCGCCACGATATTCCGAATCTCACCGATAGCAATAGGAACTATTCGTTCGAAACTGTGTAAAAAAAACAATCCCGTGGGGCCCTAAACCAAATAATACTAACCTTGAGGCACATTTTCTTTGGATCTCCAGGAATCAGTACGGGCGCGCGAGCCCTTCTGGATGCGCCCAGATCCGAAAGACTGAGTACGGGTTCTTGAATTTTTAAAACTTATTCCTGCTGGAGCGCTCGTTCCTGGTTGTGGATAATTCTGAGCAGTTTGATCATATCTGAAAGGAAACACAATTTTCATTAAACAGTTCAACTTAAATAAGCTGTTTTTCTTACTTGTCTTTCGAGGTAGATGCTCTTCGACTGTCCTCCCGAGATGTACTCGGTCCAGCTGCAATTTGACTTTCGGAGAGAGTTCTATTTCTTGGCCTCTGGCGGTATCCTCGTCCATGTGGTGGCAATATTTCATCTATTCTTGGCTGCAAAAACAAACTTATGAAAAAATGAAACTAATTGGAAAATCAGCCGCTCACCTCAACCACTCTGAAGTCTTCGACGGTCTTGAACTTGGACAAGTATTTCTTAAGAACCGGCTTGACAGTTAGATGATTTCCATGTTTGTAATATTTCAAAAAAGCCCAGAATTTCTCGAGTCCATACAGCTGCACGTTTTCGTAATCTCGAACTGTTTCCTCCTGGAAGTCTTCATACAGATGAGGTCTAAACTTGACTTCGAGACCATATGAGTAGAAGCGGAAAAGACACTCTAACCCGTAGCGGTAGCCTTGTTCGGCATCTTCGAGAGCCAAAGACTTGAATTCATTGTACATAGTTCGGTTGAAGTTTTCCCGCAGAAAGAATGACCAGAAACGGAAGAGAGTGTTCATTTCGTTTGACTGGCCGATACCAAACCGCTTGCGTTCTGAAAATAATAGTATAAATAAATAAATGTTATTTAGAATTAAACAAAAACAATTGCTGAATTCGTGCAACTGAAGTGTGCATTTCATTCAAATTTACTACAAATCGAGAATTATTTATATAACAATATGGACTTCAAGTGTGTAAGAATTAACGTAATTCAACTAAATTTCGCAGAAATCAATGGGTGAGAAGAAAAAAGTTCTTTGCAAATAAAAACTCGTGTATATCTTAATTAGAAGGTGACAGTTAAAAGTCCCATGATTAAACGGTTAAATGCGAAAATAAGTTCCAAACTTACCTTTAAGGCACTTCTGTCTAAACTTTGAGTATGCTTGTTGTGTAAAGTTGTTCTCCAGCAGTAAAGCATGTGAAGGATGTTGGAACGAGGGCAATGTTTGCGGAACACTACCATAGCTGGTCGCTAAATTGCCTTCGCTTGGACTCACACCGTACGCACTCCTGCAAAACATTAAAAAAAACATAACTACACAGAACACACAAAAAAATGAAAGCAGAAACAAGTTAAAGAATGAAGAAATTTACCCGGTGGATGTTGTCCTCAATCGATGTGCTCGGACATCCATAATCCACCCAACGTGTTGTTCTACCGGAGGATTATTCGAATGTCTCGTTTTGAGTTTTCTAGGAGTCGTAGGATCGGGTCTGTCATCTTTACCCACCGCGTAAAATCTAGGAACGTTGCGATGGCCTGGTGTCTTAATCGATGCCGTGCTTGAAGACGGCAAACCTTCAAGCTGCGAAAAAGTTGTATTTTATGCAAAAAGTTCAAAAGTCGTATAATATAATAGCTTACTAGTGGCGGCGGTGGTGGAGGTACTTCGGGATTTGGCTTCCTCGGAGCGGGTGGCGCCCGCTTTTTAAAGTCTTCTTGGCTTATCACAGTAACGGTTTTGTAGCTTCCAACAGAGCTACGATCCTAATAAACACCAACATCTTAGTTGACGAGAAACACAAATGGAATTAAAAAATGATATATAGAAATACTGCACTTACAAAGTCGCCTTCGTGCCACAAATCTTCTTCATAATAATAGAGTCCATCATTAATAGCTTGTTCTAAATCTTGAGTCATTTTAACACGACTAGTATAATCTCCAGTTCGATCATATCCTTCGTGTTTCGGAGCTCTAGTAGAGGTAGTTGTCGGAGCTTGTGTCACAATTAAAAGTTTATCCACATCTCTATCACTCAATTCATCAGACGAATCCTCTTCATTCCTATGACAAAATAATTATTATAACTTGCTTGCACTCAGTTGAGGTGAATTATTACCAGTCAGTCGTAAAAGTATTCTGTCTTCCGATTGGAACATTTTCTAGTTCCTCATCAAAATGAAAGTCAAGTTCCTCTCGTTGGAACTCAAAGGGTTTCGGCTTCTGCTCTTTCTTGCCTTTGTTTTCCTTGTTCTTTCTCTTCACTTGAAGCCACGCTTCCTCTTCATCATTTTTATTACGACCAGTCTGAGGCTCAGGTAAAGCTGGAGATGAAGTATCCCCATTTTGAGGATTTTTGTTCTCCTTGTTCATTATACTTTCCGATTGATCTGAAAGAAATCAAACGTTATACAAGGTGATTTTAATCTGAAACTCTCAGAAAACGAATTATTACTGTAACCGATGCTCTGCTGCTAAAGTTCACAATTTACTTCACTGACCTTTGTCGACAGGAATAAATTCAGCTACGTCAGGATTTAAATTCTCCACTTGATTTGATGATTTACTGTTTTTGGGAACTGGAGGCGGAGGCAAGAGTTTCGATATAATGTCTTCCTCCTTTTCGCAACCTTTTTGTAAGATAGGCCACTTGGCAGGGTCGTGTTTAGCCCGAACCTGCAACAAATGTTTTAGTTGAAGCTAGTACTTGACTAACAACGTTTAATCAGTTTACCTTAAAGCCTGGAGAGAGCTCGATTTTATCAGAAGAGCTAATAGCGTCTACGATTAACGCAATATTATCGGTCAATGCCTGAACTCTGTGGAAGGATGCAATTAACGTTACTGGCAAGTAACCATCAGCATCCATTTTCCGGCGCAAAAAGAAATCTCTGTTAAGATTGTCATCGCTAAAGTAGTATTCGCTGAAATAAAAAAAAAATCCTTAAAGAAATTCCGAAAAAAAAACATAAATTTGTTAAAGCTAGTTAACACTAAGCTGACACAACGTTAGTGTTACTTACATTTGATTTCGGATATATTCCTTGAGTGTAGGTCCATCGAGATTTAAGTAGTTATTGCCGCTAAAGTAATAAGTGCCCATATACGGAACAACGTAGCTTTGACTGTCTAAAGAGGCAGTGAATTTGGATAGCTGAAGCAAATAAATGATTAAAAATAAATTTAAAGAGTTTCATTAATTGATATACCAACCTGTCGAAAATCTATTCCGTTTTCCAAGGAGTCAGTGTCGTTGGCGCCACGATTGGTTCTATTGAACTTTGAGATGCGTCCTCCTCCTCTGCTCCTCCAACGGCCTCGAGGAGCTGCAGACGCTGGTCGAGCTTGTCTGTGGTTTTGATGATTTAAGCTCTCTGCTCTCCAGTCTCTATCTCCATCGCTCACAGTAGATTCAACGTCGCCTGAAATTAAACAAAAACATTAGCTGGAAATATATATTTAGTCGATAGATTTAAAAATAATCCTGAAACATGTCAGCCAACAATGCAACTTTAGTTCTCTGTTACTCTGCCTACCAACCTCTGTTACTACTATGTCACAACCATCCCAGAGCTATTAAAAAATGAGTTAGTACACCTAGGTTGGATTTGATAAGGGTTAGTGGCTTAGGGTAGGTTAGTTGCTGGCATATTTTCTTACACATTGGCATTTTCATTTTAAGTCAACTGCGAAAATGAGAACCTTCTACAGGTGATTTACGTAGACCGTGCATTATCCAACTTGCAGTTGTTTTAGAAACTGAAACATTTGTTTCCGGTCATAACGAGTAGTGCTGAAACCATGTAAATTCCATTTAGCCCTCTATGGTGTACAAAAACTATAATCTAACTTTCTTTTTTTTAATTCAAACCCCTAATTTCTTTGGCATTCATTTGTGAAAAATTTCCAGTTTTTACTTTATCGCTTTAACAAATTCAACTCAAATACAGAATTTCAAACCGTTTTAAAAATCTGGCAAAACATAGATGCGAGAGTTCGTGTGAAAATCAACTTGATTATTCCGTCGCTTTCAATGATGCGAGTACACGAAAACATTCATAACTCCTGATCTAACGAATGTCAATCTGGCCTTTTTGCACGCTTTTGCTTATCAAGATGTACCAACTCAGTTTCATAAAAATGGAGCAAAAGTCTGATCTGAGAGATCATGTGAAAGAATCCAGTTCCGTCGCTCTTAATTGTGTAATCAAAGTGAAGCATTAACAAATCATGGCATGGTTTTTGAATGATTTACTTTGATTTTGGTGAATCTGCTAACGATTGTGCAGCCTCTCACAGCAGATCCAAGCTAGAATGATTTTCAAATTTCATGAAAATTGAGCAAAAGATTTCAACTTTCAAAGAAAAAAAGTAAACCACTTTCAAAGAAAACGGCTCATATATCAAAAACTATAAGAGATAAGTTAACAAAACTAGGGTCACCCAAACTCGCAATTGGAAGGTCAATCCAACCATACTAAAGATATTAAGGGTTTGCATTTAAAATAAAATAGTTAGGTTATAGTTTTCGTACATCCTGTATATATATGGGCTAAATGTATTTTTCATGGTTTCGGCACCACTCGTTATAACCGGAAACCAAATTTGAAGTTTCTTCAACAACTGCAAGTTGGAAAACTTCTAATGCACGGCCTACGTAAATAACTCTGCACATTTATTGGCTTAGTTAAGAAGCATAGTAATATTACACTATTATTAAACAAATCTTCCAATATGGCTTAGAATTACCAAAACGAATAAAAAACAGGAGGATAGCCGTCCTGCTGTCTGATTTGAGCTTGCTTACCCACACTTTCTCAATTCTCTTCTCCGCTGTACCTAAGGCGCAGGACCAGTCACCTTACTCAAACACGCATGCCCCTCGATTTCCAATGAAATACTTGTTGAGGAAAGTGGGTTTGGCGAAAAAGACATTGTCAGTTACAACTGACAATTTGCACAGTCGAATTATCAGAGCGAATTGTCATATACTGTATTATCCTACTATTGTTACAGAATTTATTAACATACTCTTTTTTAGGTTCATTTAGGTTCTTTTGATAACGATAGCAGAAAATAGCTATCGAAACGTCAAG